ACCGTGCCGTGCGCAGCCTGAACAAGAACTGTGGGGAAACGAGTCTTCTCCTGGTGCCCTTGGGGGTGATGTCCGACCAAACTGGGTGAGGTGTTCACCGCTGGGGGGTCCTGCTGCACGGGGCCCGCTGGGCTACATGTGCTTTATCCCACTTAATTAGGAGTTGGAGGGAGATTCAAAACTGCTGCCCCAGAGCGATTTGGGTTCTGGAATCCAGGGATCCGGGAGGGTTCAGGTCAAAGGCTTTCCCATTATTAAAGTGTCCAGAATGACAGAAAGATCCAACGCCCGCCGCCTGACCTCCACCTCCACCTCTGTCCCCCCCCCAGCCTCGGGCACAGTCTTATTCAAATAAACAGTCCTGGGTCCCAAGCGGAGGGACTCCGAGGCAGAGCAGAGACCCTAATTGTGCTTTAATGAGGCCAGGGTTTGCTCCACCGGCTGTTTACTGAAGCCATTTCAGTTTGCTGCTTCTGGCCAGAGATGGCAACCACTAGCTAGCCTGCTCAGAATAAATGTCACCGCGGAACCAGGGGAGGTTGGGCCAGCTCCCCACGCCTTGCGTCCCCTCACTCTTCGAAAGAGGTTGAGGACCAGAGCAGGCCTGTCTCTAATGAGGTGGCAATGAAAGAAGGGACAGCATGCTGAGAGAGGGGTGCATGGGCATTCTGGGGGCCTGGGCCCAGCTTCCTCTGTGTCAAAGAAAAAGCTGGCCCTGGAAGGCTTCCTGGAGGAAGTGTTGCATGACAACGGCTCAGGAGCAGACGCTGTCCTAGAACACAAAGAAATACACAATTAAGTGACTTACCCTATATGATGACTCCCACTGAAAGAGAAATACCCCAAACCTGGGGGGCCCAGAGCCGCTGATTGCAAGGCACTGTGCACTCACTTTCAGTCTTCACCACCAGTCAACAAGGAAGAAAGAGAAGGGAGATTATAAGCAAGCAGCAGTTTCTTTAATATTTAGATTGATGGAGGTTTAGCCCCAATATTCCAAGGGGGAAACTGAGGCTTGGAGGGGTAATGACTTGGCAAAGGTCACACAGGGTGGAGCCAGAATGTATCCAGAATTACTTATTCACTCACCAATGACTTACTGAGTGCTAACTCTAAGCTGGGTGTGGTTCTAGATGCTGGGATTGTGTCTGGAGATCATCAAAGACGTGGCCTCAAAGAGATGAGATTCCAGGCAGGGAGACAGACCAAGAACACACTGACATATAATGTAACGTAACATCTGTACGAGCGGCTGAGCGCCGCTGCTTGTCTGGGACACACAACTTCCCTCACAGCCATGAGCGTCTGGCTTTGGATGAGTCCCTCGGTCCTTTTTATTTCCAGGGGCCCGACATTCAGGCTTAATAGCATGCTGCTTATCCACACGCCCTCCATAAACCCTAAATGCTCCTTTGGGGGCTTGTGCCATCCCCACAAAGGCAGTGCAGCATCAAAGAACTCTGTTCTCCGCTGATGCCTGCGGCGCAGCTGTCCTCAGCAGCCTGGAATCCTCCCCAAAACAAGTTGGCCCCTGGGGTTCTCCTGTCCTTCCTGGAGGTACCCTCTGAAGTTCCTGGCGAGGAAGTTCTGGTTCAGATAAAGGTTACCCAAATAGCTCCCGCCGCCCAAAATGTGGTGGGAGATTTACAGGAAGCGGGGAGGGGTGGCCTTCCAGGAGCCGTAAATCTCCCCTGCCCCAGGCTGGGAAGAGAGCGCACCTCAACACTAAATCAATTTCATTGGCCTGCTCCGAGATTTCTGCACTTGGAGGCAGGGCCTGGGGTGGGGAGGAAATAGCTGTCAAGCATCCGGAATGATGAGGACAGATGCTGGAATCAGAGCTTGTGATTTCCTGTGGCCCAGAGGCTGCTTGCTCTTCGTCTTTGCTTGGGGGCCTTGTCCCAAAATGCCTCTGTCTCAAGCACAAGTAGCTGAAGCTCCATGGCTGGGGTCCCTGATGGCTTTGGTGTCCTCTGGGGCTGCTTTCTCCCAGCTCTGCATGGCCCTCTCCCCATCCGTCACATCTCGGCTCAAATGTTCCTTTCCAGAGAGGCCTTCTCTGGACACTGTCTAAAGCCAGCCCTTACATCCCCTCCTTTCTGGGAAGCCCTCCTGGACAAGCTTGCTACAATTATGGAGATTCCTGAATCTATATTTATCACTGGGACTGCCTGGAGAGTCTCTCTGTCTACACCGAAAGGTTGTCTTGTCTCTACTGCATTCCTGGTCCCAGGAGGCCATGTTCAAACTTGATTGGTCCATTCGCAAAGCCCTATGTGTCTCAAAAACCTGAATGGCGCTGGCCAGATTCAAACCTGGCTTGCTTGTCTTCAAAACCACCATGAAATTCAAAAACGCAAACCCAGCCAGTTCCCGAGAACCTACCCTACACTGGGTTTGGCTGTCTAGCTCTGGGGTGCAGCAGAGTGGCTGCACCCCTCACCTGGGAGCAATGGGGGGACTCCTATTATACCAGGACAGGACATAGCATATATAGTCATGTGTCACTTGCCACAGGAAGTGTGCTGAGTGAGAAACATGTCCTCAGGCGATCTTGTCTTTGGGCGAGTGCAAGGCAAGGAGGCAAGAAGTCAGGACGGTTATGACCTCACTAGGCAATAAGAATTTGGGGACCACCCTTATCTCTGCCATCCCTGGTTGACCCATCACTCTTCATGCAGCACACGGCTAGAGTAGGTGCTCAGTAAAGATTTATCCAATGAAAGAAGCAATGACTAAATTACCAAAAGACATCCATTTCCACCTTCCACTTACAGCCTGAGTAGCAAAGATGAATGGTGCGGAAGGGAATTAACCTCTTTATTCCCAACACAAAGAGTGTAGAGGGAGGACCTTTCACCAAAAGCATCCGTGGGGTGTGCTTGGCTCTGGAGAGAGCTTTATGCTTATCTCATTCTACAAAAAGATTTCATGGAAGCAGTTTTTCCTCCTCATTTACATGGGGACATTATACCCAGAGGCTGAATTATGGGGTGAGCACAGTAAGGCTGTAGACAGCTCTTACCTCCTTGCTCCTTTCTTGCTGTTTCCCCAAATTAGGTCTTTCCAAAGGTCCCTGCAGTCGGGACCATGTCTCCTCCCCTTGACCCGGCCCCACACCTCGTTTCTGGCAACAACCCAGGGTATCACCACTCCAGACCTGGTGTTCCTCTGGCCATGTTCATCTGCTCGCTTCTGGGGAGCAGAGGGCTACCAACAAGAGGAGATGGGGGTCACTCCCCTCGCTGTGGTAAAGCAGCCCAGTTGTCTGGGCTCCCTGACAACTGACCACGGGCAAGTGCTGCTTTCAGTTTATGGGGTTTCGAATAAAATCACCTTGGGGTGAAACTGTAGTGGGAAAAGATAAGAAAGGGCAGCTCACAGTGTTCCATCAAGGTTGGCACGCCTCTCTTCTATTTGCCTCCATGTTCTTTCATACAATTTCCCATGCCTCCTCTCACTCCTCCTGCCCCATCCTCACAACATACCCTCTTTGCCATCAACAAAAACTCCCCACACATCTTCTGTGATACCTTGCTATGTACCCCCAAATTAAGATATATAGCCCCAAATCAATAGATAGATGGATGGATGGATGGATAGATGGATGGATGGATAGATGGATGGATGGATGGATGGATGGATAGATAGATAGATAGATAGATAGATAGATAGATAGATAGATAGATAGATAGATCGATCTCCAATCACCAACTTCAGGAATGTGTCTAGGTTTCTTAGTCCCACTTTGATGGGAAAAAAATGTCAACACACTCAACTTCTCTTTCTGGTCACATTTTTAAATAGCCAGCATCTTTCCCCACTCGTCCATTCTGCCAACAAATGTTCAGCACAATGCGAACAATCAGAGTCTAAAGACAAATCAGACTCAGGACTGTCTCTCCAAGAGCTCCTGGTCTACTGGGAGAGCAAGGTCACAGCAGTTACCCATGGTGAGTGAGGGGGCCGCAGAGCACTAGCTAGGTGGACGCTGGTTGCTGGAACAATGTCGCTGTCTTGCTACAATAGAAATTTATCTCTTGCTCATGAAACAGCCCAGTGCTTGCTTGCTGGTTGGCAGGAGGTTGAGTGTGGGGCAGTCACTGTCCCACTGTCCCCTGGAATCTGGAGCGCGCCCCAATTTGGGAAGGAAAGAACAGTTATATGGGTGACCTGTGAGCCAGGTGGGGCTGGTCAAGTTCATGGGCTTGCTGTGTGCTAAGTCGCTTCCCGCTGGGCACAGCCGAGGATGATCTTTCTTGAGAGGGAAATACAAGCCAAAGATGACAAAAGGGACACCAGTGTGGAAAACCTCCACTTGGCTAGCTTGCCCCTTTGCATCAGAGAGCTGAGCATTGTAAAGATGAAGTCACCTTGACGAAGTCTCACTCTCAACTTTTGTCTTTGTAGGGTGACCCGGTGGCATCCCAAGGCAAGTCGAGGGTGTGCTGGGTTCAGACACTTGACACCCGCCCAAGAGGAGAGGCAGAAGAGCCAAGAAGAGGGTCTGCCCTCAGGGAACCAGCCTCGGGGCTGGGTGAGCATGAGGCCTGGAGGCGCCAGGCAGGCAGCACGGGGTAGTGCTAACTTCTCAGGACGAAAGGCCCGAGACCACACCCAGCCGGGAGCTGTTGCTCAGCAGGACCAAAAAGCCATCTGGGCCAAGCCTCTGAGTACCAGAGTCCTTGTTTCTAGCACTTTCCAGGTGGGTCTTGTCTAGCTCATTAGGCAAACTGGAGCTCTGGAAGAAAGAGCTCCTCAGGGTCAACTAAGGTTCCAGAACCTTCCAGCCACAGACCCTCACTCCACCTTAGAGAGGCAGTTGCTATCACACCATGGGAAAGAGAAGGGGCCTCAGCTCTGCTCAGCAAACTCAAGGCAGATCTGCAACCAGAAACCCAGCCTCAGGTTCTCCTCAGTTCTTTTTGCCAAATGCGTTTACAAAAGAGAAAAACCGAAGGAGCTGTATTTCTTCCAACTCGGTTTCGAGTCTCGGAGGCTTTCCTGGAGAGACAGAAGGCACGTGGGAGGCTGGAGGACGGCCCTGCTTCTCCAGGGGACCGAGGTGTCGGGGAAACGTGATGTGAGGAAATACATTTGCACAGAATGAAAAAGGGAGAAAGGGAGCAATTTTCAAACCTTCAAGCAATTAGGAAAAAAGGCATCTCAGGAAATAAAAAATGACCCTTTCAGGAATGTTCCTTCAGAGAGTGAACAAGAAGCCCACACATCTATTACATAAAGTAAATAGTCTGGTTACCTGATTTTCTGCATAATTGATGGGGAGAGCAACATAATCACTCTGGCATTCATTAACAGAGCTTGAAAGCTAGTTTTAACACCTGCCACACGCTCACACACACACACACACACACAAAATGCAGGAAAGATAAATCGCTGTGGAAGGAATGTATTTCAATGCACCACCAGCCAGTCTCCCTGACACGGCCCCCTCCCTCAGTCTCGCTGGTCTCACTCACACCCTTCCCGGCTGCCCATCTCCGGAGCCGTGGCCACCGGGACACCTGGACGCTGCTTCAGGGCAGTCACGGCCGCCGACGTCCGCGTCTGGGGACCAGGGCGGCTGGAGGAGAAACAGGAAGGCAGCCGGCCTCCCGCAGACACTCCGTTGTGACTGGCTGTGACCTTGGCTTCCGTTTCCTCCTCTATAAAACGGAGAGGACTTTGGTATCCACTTCATGCTCAGCAAGGCCCCAGCACGTGGTCAGGGCTGCAGACCGGACCTGTGCTTGTCGTATGCACATACCTACCCTTGACAGAAAAGGCGCCTGGATTGGGGGGAGAGATGCCTTGGAGGGCGAGCTAAGTGCTGGCAGGCGAGCCCTGAAATAGAAGCAGAGCCACACAGAGGAGAGGGGGAGCAGTTATCTCTGGGAGGGAGGGAGTCGTGCATCCTGAGATGGTTTTGCTCAAGAGGGACTTGGAGGATGCGTTGGAAGAGGGAGGAAGCGGGTTGGCCTACTGTGCTTCACAGATACCGCAGGGGATTGGCTTTTTATTTTTTTTTAATTGAAGGTTTGTGGAGAAAAGTGCCTCTTGCTAAAGGCTCAGCTGATGGCAAGCAATTTTTGGTAATAAAGTATTTTTTAATTAAGGTACGGTGTTTTTTTAGGCGTGATGCTATTGCACGCTGCCATGAGAGCAGCCTAGTAAAAGTGACTTTTATACCCACTGGGAAACCCAGGCACTCATGACACTCGCTTTATTGTGATGTCCGCTTTATGGTGGAGGTCTGGAACTGGCCCGAGATATCCCGAGGTGGCAGGAGGGTTGGCTTGCACCAAGTCCACAGGGAAGGCACAGCAGGGCTGTGCAGAAAATCACTGTGGAGTCTGCAGCGCTGTGCACAGGAACAGAGGAGGGACCTGGACTCACCCCTCAAGGCAGGAGAGGAAGGTGGGGGCCCCCTCCACAGGGGTGTCCGAAGGCACTGCCACGTGAGGGCTCCTAAGAGGGGTGAAGGGGCCTGGTCTGGAGCCCTAGAGCCTCAAGGCTGGTGGGGGGCACTGCCCCTTGCCGGGCAGTCACCACTCCTAATCCTCCTGGTCTGCAGGGTCACCTTGATGCTGCAGCAGCTCAGAAACGAACTCCAGTTGCCCAAATGAGGGGCCTGTCCATGGGGCAAAATAAACAACCCTCATAAGATCCAAATGCTTGGATTCCTGAGAGCTGCTGACAAGGCTGAAGGAGACCCCTTAGGAGCCAGTGGATTTGAACATGAATAAAGTAGCCTCTGTCCAGTGAGGGAAGGATATGATATGAACATGCCTCATAGGGATTTGGGGGCCGATCCAGATTCAGGGACCTAGCAGGCAGGTGTCCCAGGTCAATGATCTTTCAGTTCCATGGTGCTGTCTCCCCACCAGTGCCACAGGGCTGCACAGCTCCAGAGGTGTTATGCAGCCTGCGGGCAGTGGGGAGGGTGCCCCCGAAGGTTGATCAGTGCAACTGTCTGCAGCAGCCATGAGGTGAATCAGATTGGAAGAGATGGGTCCTTCTTCAGTCGGGGGATGTGTGGACACAGAATCTGACGTCACCCTTCTCAGGCAAGAGTTTGGAGTGGGTCTAGCCCGGGGTCGCATGCAAAGCACTTGCCCCACCCCAACCTTGCTTAGTGGACCTTGCTAAGCCTCCCATCCTGACCAGGAGAGTCATTGCTAATTCATTCATTTTAAATACATTTACTCCATGCCAGGCCTTGTCAATTGCTCACCTACCTGCCAGGTGTGTCAGACACAATTTCTGACCCTCTAACTCCAGGTTCACATGAGAAACCCAAGGCCCAGGAAGGATGGGGACCTGCCCACAGTGTAACGGTCAGTCACGGAACCCCATCCCCTGACTCCCGCTCCAACTGTGATGCCTCCAAGCTCCTCCCCTTTGACCTTTGACCTAAAGCAAAGATGGCAATGACAGCTCCAACTGACTGGACAGCCATAGCTATCTGAGAGACACGTCGCTTTCTCAAGGCCCTCGTCACTGTCCCTGAGGAGGCCACAATCCTGGCCGCCAGCCCAGGTGACTTATCATTTTCAGTAATTGTGTGAGGTGGCTTAGCTCAGCCAAGCAACTCACATACCTGTCAACCTGCATACATGACCTGGCAAAGCAGGCTTGAGCGAGTCCATTTCACATGTGAGGATGCTGGGGCTCAGAGCCGTGGGCTGGCCTGCCCTTGGGGTCACAGAGCAGGAGATGAGCCAAGCCCTGAGCGCTGAACCACAGGCTGAGCGTCTGTCCCCAAGCCCGCGGCCTTTCCAGGAAGACAGAGAATCTGCTGCGTGGCGAACCCCTCTCTTCACCATCGGCCTTGTCACCGTGGCTGCACATGTTAATAGTTTTTTCCTTGGAAATACCCTGCTTTCATTTGGCGTTGGCTTCTGCAACTGTGCGGTTTGCGAACAATATGAAAATCAGCATTTCATCAAGATGTAAAGCTTGTTAAGCAAGATCTTGAAATCCCTAAAATTATTCTTCCAGTATCAAATGGAACAAAGGATGTTTGGATTTGAAGTATTCATTTTGCAAAAACTGAAGTTTGTGTTCATGAATTTCTAAGAAATAAGCTCAAGCAGAGACAGTTGAGGGTTTTCCATCCTGTGAGTTTTGGGGTTTGATACAAACCTGGTTGCCAGAGAGAGCGCGGTGGCGAAAAATGGAGCCTCCCAGGGAGACGTGGGCACTTGCTGTGTGGTTCTGGGCTGCCCGTCTCTTGGTCCGTGTTTCTCCACTAGCGCTGTCGGATTGGACACAGTGTCCCCTCTCGCCTCTCCAGCCATGATGGTCTTGTGAACGTGACCTCTCGGTCTACACTCATTAGAACAAAGTCAGTCATCTCCCCTGAGGGAGCCATTCCTTAACCACAGCGGGTCTTTCTTCCCCGAGTTCAATCCCACGTGCAACTGGAAGGCAAACTTTGGGTCTGGGAGTAGCCTGATGTCCAGCTACTCAGCCCAGACCACAGACCTGTGGCCATGATAGGCGGGGCTGGGAGCTTGAGGGGCCTCCCAAGCCCCCTTCCAGGGCCATGTATCTCCTCTTGTTTTCCAGCTGTGGAGGGATCTGGGGGAGGGAGGAGACACAAAGAGCTGAAGCGACAAGACCTCAGGAGGGTCCTCCTTTGAAGAAGGATTCTGATAGGAGAAGGCAGGAAACATTGTTTTGAATCTTGGCGGAACCAGATCATCCTTCAACAAAAGGGCTTTGACGTGGAAAGCAACACAGCAAAAATCCTACCTGTTTCATGCTGCCTGGTGGTAAGAACATCAGCTCCGCCACCTGCCAGGTCTTCTGCTTGCAACCTGCAGAAACGGAGGCGCCATTATCCACAAGAGGAGCGTTTGGAAGGTTTAAACTAGGTGATGTATGTAGGGCGTCCGGTGCAATTGCCGGCACATAGGGGCAGCCCAGGAATGTTTACTAAGTGAAAATGGAGGCTTGTGCGGTGTCCAACTCTCTCAGTCTAAGGACGGTTTGGAAGGACAGAGGGGGACGTCAGTGGGTGAGTGGGGCTGAAGGAAAAACAAGGGGAAGCCACGGAGAGCCAGCGGTGAGAGGAATGGAGGGCGATCGGTGGAGATGAAGCAGGAAGGTGAACGGAGAGGCAAAGGCAAGCCCTGGGAGAAGAGACTGGGGAGGATGCGGAAGGCAGGGCCCAGGGAGCTGCAGAGTAAAGAGAGATGGCACAGGCAGGCCTCATCTCTTACTCAGAGAGTGAGAGGACATACAAGCGCTTTCCGGTCAGGGCTGGAGATTCAACGACTTTCCCCTCCAACGACCTCTCTTCTTTGGAGAGAGACAGGCCTGTCTCTCCACCCTTCCACTCCGCACTCCAGAAGGCTCTGCATGATGGACCCTGGTTGGGACAAGACCCCAGGTGACCCTGTCCACCTTCCCTCGGGGGTCCCCACTCCCTCTGGCTAAGACAGCTGGAGCTACGCTCTGAGGATGGCTGGAGGCCCACTTTCTGGAACAAAGCAGTGATTTCCTCCAGCACCGCGATGGCCCACCCCCTCCCCAAATCCTCAGGGAAGGGCAATTTGTGGGAACGGAGCTGCTGGGTAATAGATTTCTCTGTCAACATGATGAGTGAAAGAAAGAACGAGGTAATTACCAGTAATGCACTTCAATTATGTCTCTGCCTCCCCACCCCCCAACCCCAGCCTCATGTCCCCATTTAATTTTCATTTAAAACAAAACAGTTGCCACAGACCCAAAGCTAAAAACAGAAATCCCTTTCAGCTCCTGGCAAATTAGCAGGAATGTCTTATTATGGAAGCCGTGGGCGACAAACTTCTTCCAGAGCAATACAGGAAGCGGGCCTGCCGGTCCCCGGTATCCCTCGCCTCCAAAACTCCATCCTCCAATGCTCCAAGCAATTAACCTTGTCCCCCCAAGACCCCACATCGCCCTCCCCGTGCAGGCCTGGCTGAGCCTCTTTCAAAGCCCTTGCCTGAGGAATTCTGTCAAAAATCAGTAGCACCTTGAGGAGGCCTGAGGTCAGGGGACTTCCTTGCTACACAGGAAGGCGTGTTCTATCAGAAAAGGGAAATGCTCTCAGACCCTCAGATCTCGGGCAACTAAAAATAAACTAATAGGCCTTAAATTAACTTTTTCTTTCTTTTGCCCCCTCTTCTCCACCCCCCACTTTCCACTAAGACTTTTCAACTTGAAGGAAAAGCATTTATTATCTGAGAGTGACACACAGGAAATTAGACTTATAAATTGTGCTTAAAATGTTAGAGTTTCCAACTTTCTTTAATGCTAATCTTCATGCTAATAGGTTGTGGAGATATGTGTTTTGACTTGAGAGAATTTTTTTTTCTTTTCTAATTAATTCTCGGTACACCACATGAAACATTGGCGGTGGAGGGCTTCCAGAAGTTTGCTCGGGGTTGGAGACGGGCCCTCCTGACAGAGTTCAAACGGCCATTTTCCTCTGGAGCTTCGAGAACCAGTCCTGTTGGTTAGTGTTCATTCAGTCCATGCAGAGGGCCAGAGCCCCCGCCGCACCCGCCACGTGGGAGGACGAGGGGCCTTGGCCTTGCCCAAGTGGCCGCCCCAGCCTGACCTTGCACAGTGTCCCTCTCTCTTCTTTCCTCCCTCTCTCCCGCTCTGTTCCAGTCTGAAGAGCCCCCCAGCTTCCCTGCCCCTGCCAGGTTCACCCTGCACCCACAGCCCCACGCGAACCCTGCTCGACATCTCCCCACACCCTCGCTGAGGCCTCCTGGCCTTTGCAGATGTGTTCCTTGCTGGGTTGGTATGTGAGGAAAAGTCTACCCGCTGCAGGATGCCCCGCCCCCAGAGCCCAGGACACCTCTGGACCGGAGGACGCTCCCAGGTGCCATGGTAACGCGGGGAGGGGCGGGGCCAAGGTGTGACGTGGGTGGGGCTGGTCTCCTGGCTTTCCAGGGGCCTCTGCCAGCTTCCAGGAGGCTGGGTTGCTGGATGGGGGAGAGGGGCCGATTAACCTGTACTGTGATTTAAGAAAAAAATTCACATTCTCTTATCTATAAGAATGAAAATAAGGGGCCTCCCTGGTGGCACAAGGGGTTAAGGCACAACCTATGAAGCTGTCCGCAGCCTCTGCAGCAGGAGTTTGATCCCGGGCCAGGGAGCAACCCACATGACACAGCAGACCTCTCCTGTCTCGCCCGCTGCTCCCCTCAGCAGTGTATTTCAGTCAGTCTGCCTGTTCTGCTCCCCACTCTGTCTCTGGTGAATCCTCTCGCCCCCCCCCGCATCTCTGGCCTGTACCCCAGTTCTTGTATGCATAGATAAATCTTTTTAAAAAATGAAAATAAAAGTACCCTACCAACCCATGGAAGAGATGAACTAGTTACTCCCCCAAACCACACCCCCTTTCCTCCCAGACACACGGCCCTGCCACCTCTCCCAGCCTCCCTTGTGGTGAGCAGTGGTCATGTGAGCCAGTCTGTCCGATAGGTGAGCCTCCCAAGCTACCCGTCCCCCAGTCCTGCCCCTGAAGCCTCCTGTGCACGCTCAATGCTAGTTTCCACCCCTCCTCCGCAGGGGGGTGGGGGTCCATCAGCCACTGTGCCCTCGGAGGAGGACAGAGCCCTGGATCTGTGGACCCCAAATGTCACTCAGACGGGCGCTATCACGAGGGGTGTGTGTTCTACCAGCATCTGGTGGACAGAGGCCAGGGGTGCCACTAAATGTCCTTCAAAGCACAGACTCCATTCCCGTGACAAGGAAGCATGTGCGTCTCAAGTGTCAGTATGGCGGCCTGAGAATCTCTGCTCTCTGTCAGCCTGCGACTCCCAGTGAAGGAAGCAGGAGGTACCTCCTGACCAGGTAAGCCAAGCAGATTTCGTGGCAGTTAGTAGAGGAGTTAGTGCACTGTGACCACACCCCACTTCCTGACACTCAGCACGCTGCTCATAAACAGGAAGAATGTTCAGACAGGTACCCCTCATTTTACTGCATTTGGCTTTTACTGTGTTTCACAGATATGGTACTTTTTGCAAAAGCCTGTGATGGTGGTTAGCATTTTTTTAACAATAAAGTGTTTCTTGATGATTGCACATGCAACAGACTAAAGTATAATGTAAACATAACTTTTAGGTGCACAGGGAACCCAAAAAATTCATATGATTCACCTTATTAAGATAATTGCTTTACTGCGGTTGTCTGGAACCAAACCCAAAATATCTCCCAGGTGTACCTATATTTACACACTGCCCTAAATCAGACCTAATGAACACTTCTCTGTGCTCAACAACCCAGTTCCAGCACTTTAAATACCCACTGCTCCACACCTTGAAACAATGACTTGTGTCTGTGGGTGTCAGCTGAAGTTCACAGTAAGTCTCACAGTGCAGGGACTGATGCTCAGCTATGTTCAGATGAGCTCAGGAAGCTCTGGGGTCAGTAGCGTTCCACACTCTATTGGTGGCTGGGGACAGAGACCTCAGTAAGCTTCTGCCCTTGCCGTCAAGGAGTGTTCTGGCCCGTGGGAGAGAGAAGCTTAAAGAGACAGTGGAAATCTAGAATGCAAATGTTGGCAGGGCAGCACACATAAGAGGCACTGATTTTACAATCTAGCACATGGCATTAGGGGTTCTTCCTCTCCCCTTCCCCGAGCACACCCCTGGAAGTCAGAGGTCCTTGGCCACATGCCAGGGAGTGCCACAGAGAGGGGATGAGCAGCCAGACCCTAATGCCAGCAGTGGCCAAGCTGTCAGCATGACACGTGACCTTGGCATTTCTCATCTCTCCATCCCAATAGCCCCACCCTGGGCCTAGTCCTCCTCTTCATAGCCACATAGCCTGTGATATGCATTTAATACTTGTGCAAATGTGTCACAAACTGTCCCCAGGCACTAGGGACAGTCACCAAGAGAGCCTTTCTGGCTACATCTTTATATTGCTGTGATGTGCCAGATACAGACCAAAAACAAGACCAGGACCTTAAGATGCAGCTGCAGGAGTGAGGACCTCATCTTACCTTGGGGCTAGAAGTTTTCTAGATAGCAGTGACATCTAAATTAAGATTTGCAGGGATGGAATTAGAAGGGCGAGTGTTGAGGAGGTGAGAAGCAAGTTGAAGCCGAGACATCGCAAGAAGGGAGAAGACAGCATGCTCTTTTTGAGGCGTCGTGAGATTGTTGACTCACAGAGGATGTGGTGAGATGTGTCAAGAGTGAGGTTAACCGGTGACCTGTGTCCAGACCGCACAAGGACTGCCTAAGTGAAGGACAGCAGGAAGCACAGAGGTTTTCCCTGGGGGTGAGGAGGTATCATGATGCTGGATATGCTCTAGAAGAATCGGTCCCACTGGCCTCTTGAGAATGGGTTGGCGGAGCAAGACCAGACCAGGTTGTGATTACCCAGGTGAGAGACAGCGGCCAACACACTCTCGTGCTGGGGGGTGGGATTGAGAAACGTGCCCTTGAGTTTTAGTTTCCAACCTCATCCACCACACAGGGGCTACAGAGAGACTTAAACCTGCTAATCTGACTTGTCAGCTCCCTGCCCAAGTTCTTTGGTGACTCCCATGCCCGCAGGATCAAGGGCAAGCCCTCTAGTAAAGGTCCTGCAGATTCTGGCTCATTGGCATCCTTTCCTTTTTTCCTCTAAACCTGAACTTCACCCTGGCCACCCACTCCCTCCACAGCTCCATTAGCACCTTCTTCAGGAGATAAATCCTCTTATTAAATCCTCTTATTTGCACCCAGCTGGGTTTGTGCCTTTTCTCTGCAGGTGCTTGGTTCCTGGTTGGTGATCTGCCCAGCGAGTCCAGCAGCTTCCTAAGGACAGGAACTGACCCCAGCATGGTGCTGGAGTTCACTCAAAGGCTCAGCAAATAGCTGCAGAAAAAAACAACTGAATGGATGGATGTTTGCATGCTTCTCCATCCAGACCTTCCAACTGGAATTGGCTATTTCCATCTCCTCTCGGGAGACCGACCTGTCCTTCAAGATTGTGCCAGGCCAGTGTTCGTAGCTATAGTACACAGCTCCCAAGAATGAAGGAATTTGTTCCTTCTCAAAGAGCCATGGGCTGTGGGGTTGCAGTCCAGGTGGTGGGTTTCTCCACCTGTGCCCAAGTCAGGACTCCAGGACCAGAGAGGCCTCGCTGCCTTCAGCACATGCCTTCCAAGATGACTTCCATGAGAAGGGGGAAGCTCAAGGGGGGTACATGCAACCCTCAGAGTGGCTAGTTCTGGAAGTACTCACAGCATGTCACACCGTGCACTGTCTGAAGGAGCATGTGCAATGCCCGGGCAGTCAGGTTCCAGTTACGTGGAAGACAGACCGTCCTAGAGCCGATCATCTTAACCAACATCTGGCTCAAATGTCACCAACCTGAAGCCTTCCTGGCTCTCAGAATCTGTAGGGAATCTCCTCGTCTAGTTCTGCAGGTCCTTGCACTTCTCACCAACATGGCAGAGGTCATCTGCCCCCTGGGCCTCTGTAGCTTCTTTCCAGAATAATCAGCAGTTTGGCTCTGCCTTCTCTCCCTTCTGACACGCTGGAAGGACGCTGCAGCGGGAATTGGGAGAACCAGCTGGCCCCGCCACTGGCTCCCTGTGTGATCTCAGACAAGTCTCCCCCCCGTCTGGTCTCATTTTTCCCCGGGTATACAAAATCGGACAGGGGCCCTGCTAAGGTTTCTCCCACCTCATTTTCGGGGGTCGCAGGTGAGCAGCCGTCACCTCTCAGCCCTCGGCTTACTGCTCACTCTCAGCCCTGCGGGAAACCCAATCATGAGCTCCCTGGTGAGGGTGCCCAGGGTGCTGCCAAGGCACGTGGGGGCCCGAGCGGAGGGCGGGGAGAGATGGGGCAGCAAGGTGGGCAGGGTGAGTTAAAGTTTTGGTGTCATCACTTTGTGACCTTGTGAAATGGGGTGTCTCTCTGAACCTCAGCCTCCTCTCTCGTAAAAGACAATCCCGATACCTGTCCCAGGTGAGATCTTCCCGGGGGGAAGATCCAGTAAGACTCAAATGTGAAATCCATTGAACACAGGACAGGCCATGCTTCACTTCACCTTAGAAATGCACCTGTCCCAGAACAGTGCATGTCCTGCGCCCCGACATGCTCCGTGACCCCTCCGGAGAGAGGGCGGGAGGACCAGGGCAGGGGCAACACTTCTTGAGACCCTCGTTTGAAGCCCATTTCTGGCCCCCTCTCCTGCTGGACATGTGGGGAGACCCCCATGCAGCAGACAAGACTGGGAGACCATGACTCTGGCTACTGCAAGGGGGGCAGGCTGCAGCTGAGGCACCCCCTGGCTGAGGGGCTTAAAGCTCACGGTGCCGGGAGGAGCCACATGTGGCGATGGTGGCCTGAGGGGACAGCAGGGACTGGTTCCCCGAGTTGGAGGGACCAGGTCAGTTGGTGGGGCCATGTCAGCGTCGCTCCTGAGAGTGAGGGCGAGGGGTCCGTGACGAAGCTGGAGCAGCAGGCCCTGGAAAAGTGAGGTGTATGCCTGCTGCCCCGAGCTTCAGGATCCAGGACCCCTGCCCCCAGAATTGCGCCAGACTCTGGTCATTTGTGTCACGACAGGCCCTCAACCTTTGGGGTAGATTGTGGAACCTCACCCTGATGTGTCAGTCACATCACCAACTCCAGTGTCCATGCATATCCAGTGAGGCGGGGTGGGGGGTCCCCACTTGACCCAAAAGCAGCCATGCCCAGCAGCTCACCTCTGATTTAAAACCCAGCTAGCCCGATTTCCAACTCCACGCTCCTTCTGATCCGCCACGACAGTGCCCTCCTCACAGCCCAGCTGAGACTCCCCAACTCCTAAAGAGAACCAGAGAGAAAAGGCATGGTTGAAAGCAACACGTCTGCCCCCGCCCGCCCCCATTAACCCCTGAGAACACAGTCCCTCGGCTTCCTCCTCACCTGCAGGGTTCTGAAGGGACCAGCCCATATTTCATTTAAAAAAAAAAAAAAAAAAGATCAAACACCCTCCACCAGTGACTTTAACTTATTTATGGGTTTGATTTTTTTCTCCTGGATCATTTCCTTTCATTCCTGCCAGAAGTCGTTGCCTGCAACCCTCCCAAGTTATTAATAAAAGAAGTCAAACGGTAGCCAGCACCGCGGCCCGATCTTGGCTCCCGCTGACGTGGTCCGTGTGTGCTAGAAGCAGATGTTTTCACCCAGAACACAGGCCCTTGCCAGGCTGCTCGCATCTGTCCTGTGTGCCGATGAGAACTACAGGAATTCAGAGGACAAAGTCTCTCTCCAACCCAAAGGGACGGGAATGAAGAGTAAGGATTGCCACTTAGATCACGTCTTCTGCGTGCCCAGCTCCCGGGGAGGTGCCAGGGATGCCCCGAGCAAACCCGCTGCACCGTCGTCAGCAGGGCCCCTGGTCCAGCCGCACTTGGCTGAGCTACGTCAGCAGTTCCTGGAGGCCCGTCCCAGCCACAGCAGGTGGCTCTCCTGGCCTCGCCGGGGCGGGGTGCTCTTGATACCTTTGTTCAGAGTTCTGAGTTTACAGTCAGCGGAGGAGTTTGGGCAGAGATGTAGGCCAGCACCCGGTGCAGATGTTTGGCAGCGGAGACGCCTTCTCCAGGAGGGAACGGCTGGATGAGCACGTCCTCCAGGCGGTTTCGTCTTGGCCGGGCTTGTCCCCAGCCCATCTCACGCCCATTAACACAGCGGATTAACTTTCTCTTGGGTGTCACCAAGTTGAAACATTCCCTCTTGGGCAAAGGCCTGACTCCTGAAAGTCTCCCCCTCCCTCTTGCCAGGCAAGAAGGAGCCCAGGGACAGCTCCAAGCTCCCCTGAGAACAGGAGCTTGGAGAACAATACGAGGGTGCTGAAAATGGAGAGGCGGCAGCATCTGGGGGGAGCCCGTGGAGAGGGGGATCCAGCCCAGGGGAAGTGGGGGTGGAGGGGATCCCCAGCAGAGCTAGGTGGCGAGGAAGGCAGATGTTTGACCCAAAGCCACAAGAGCTCGCTTCTGGCGTCGCCCTTCCTGCCCATGGACAGTTTACCTGGTCTCTGTCACCTGCGGTGGCCAAACTGTAGTTTCTTCATCTGGAAAGTTGGTTTTTCAGGGAAGAACTTTTCTGTTTTGTTTACCTGGAAAAGAGGCTGCGGGAATCAAATGAGACACCGAGAAACGGCCCTGAGACTGGCAGATCTGTTCAGACTCTAAGGGGGTCCTAGCGATCTGCTTGCTGGCGTAGGACTTGGGACCCTTTGTGTCCAGGGATGACACAGACCCGAGTGGCTTCTGCTCCTGCCACCAGGCCTGGACATAAGTGCATGTCTGCCCACGTGGGATTTTCTCCAGCCCTGGAGGGAGCGAGGGTCTGCAAGGGCCTGGGGTAGCCATCCCGCCTCCCCCAGCACTGTGGCTGGTGTCCCAACGGGCAGGCTCCTCCCCCGGGGTCTGGCCTCGGAGCAGCCACAAGAGTGAGGCTGTGTCCAGGGTCCTTTCCCTGGCTGCCTCTGGTTGATGGCCCTGATGGCCACCCACCCACCAGCAAGCTCATTTGCATGTCACCCCCCATGGCTTCCAGTGAAGAGGAGGCAGGGCACACAATGAGACGGTTATGCTCAAGCTGCTGCCCCGGGTTCCACCCCAGGGCCTGTGCTTTCACTGTGGGCTCCATTCATTGCAGAATACATGTAGCCCTAGTCACTGGAGCCCACCCCAGCACCCAGCCGCACCCTGGGGGTGGCCGAGGGTCTGCATCCGTCATGCAGCATTGCTCAGATTCCCGGGGGAGGCACGGAAGGTGGCACCGTCTCCCCACAACAGGCCCGCCCGGAGCAATCCCCTGGCATCCGGCCTCCCCACTGGGCCTGCTCCAGGCTCAGCCTCCCTTCTCCACTCTCGATTCGGCATCTACTACTCAAGATGGCCTGTCGCCCCGGGCACACGACGGGCGGCTCAGGACAAGGCTCTTCCCGCCAGGCTCTATTCTGCAGAGACAGGTGTGCAGTTAGGTGTCGGGTCGTGTGCTGCCCAGCCCGGCCCCGGCCCGCGGGGTGACTTAGGCCAGATGCTTCCACTCTCTGAGCCTCACTATCCCAATTTGTAAAATGAGGATATTAATTTCTTCCTCAAGATTGTTTTCAAAATCAAATCAACAAAGTTTGCAGCATGTCCGCACGCCTGTACTGTGTCAGTGTCAACGAGGTCGTCTCTCCGCAGGCCGGCAGGGACACGGGGTGCTGCGGACGTCACTGAAGGGACAGGAGGAATCCCCCTTCGCCTTAACTGCTGAAACGATTTCAAAGCCCTTGGCATGGACGCTGCTTGGGTGGGGTGGTGCGGGGGGCAGGTTGACCTGACCCGACGTCCCCACCGCCCTTGGTGTGGACTTCTGGGATTCTGTGGGTCCCATCTGGGGGGTCCTCCCCGCAGACTGTAGCTTCCCGGGGCCCCTGAGCCCACAGGGCCCCTGGATGCATGTGTTTCTGATTCTGATTACACGCGCTGACATCACCCCAACGGCATGCCCGGTTTGTTGGTTTGTTTCACGACCACCGAGCTGGGAGCACAGGAATTCAGGGGCCAGAAAAATTGGATAATGTGGCACAGTCTGCCTTTGCTCTCTGCCCTCCAAATCCTCTGGGGCTCTGTGGGCTTGCCCGAGGTGGTGGTTCCTGTCCCTCGTCACCGTGAGCATCGGGCAGGGTCCCTCACCTGCTCCCTCACCTGCCCCCTGCCTGCCCCCTCACCTGCCCTGTCTCCCACCTAAGAAGCAGCCAGGACTCCCCGGCAGAGGTCTGAGAGCTGCCCACATGCCGAAACCTTCCGAGGGCCTCGGGAAATGTCCGTCGGGGACAGACCGAGGGACAGGCTGGGCATCTGGGGTG